GGTAAATCTCCTCAGTCCGAAATATATTTCTTACTCTGTCTCAAGAGTGTACTAGTTTTTAGTGAGATAAAGAATGGATCCCCTCCTCTATCCAATATCATCATATTTATAGAGGAGGATTTGTGACCTTCCCCTGTTCATCCATGGACAAAATGGGAAACCCGGAGGAAGGTCACTGTACATAATCAATTTACTATTCAATCAATGAATATAGCAACTACAAGCCAAGACATGCACTGTTCAATCAAAGACTAACATGGATATTCTCAATCCAATCAATCCTGCAAAACGCCAATCATTCCCTTCACTGTTTGCCTCGTGATGGATGAGCGGCGGGGTGTCCTCTAGCCTCTGATGTTGATTGCCCTTCTCAAGTAGCGCAACATGACCGGTCACCTTTCCTCAAAGGTTACCCGGTCATTTCTTGAGTTCAACCCATCTCTTTGGTCCTCTGGAATATCCTTCGCAACATTAAGTGGTGAAATGGCTATCGCCCAAAATGTGACCAGTCACTTTTTTAGTGGAAGTGACCGGTCAATTTTTGACCCGTCCCAATCGAAGAGTTAACATCATTTGGTGACTTGATAAAAGTGACCGGTCATGTTTTGACCTGTCCCTTTTGGTTATCCGGGTCGGGTATAAGGATATACCCATCATGATTCCGGAAACACAAATGGATCTCAATTCGGACCCGTTCGGGGAAAAACCGCATACCGTTCAGCTCAGGTTTTACACAACGGAGTAAATTTTAGGGAGATAACTCCCCATCCAATCCTCTCCCACGCCACACTCTTCATCTCCCATAACCCCCCATTCATATCCCATCATAATTTCTCCATAAACTCCCATAACTCCTCATGGTTATAAAACTCCTCTTCCCCTTCATTTCTCTCATCATGTGTAACCTCCCCAAACCATAACACCCATCTCTTCCTCTCCCCTTGCATGTTCGTCCAGGCCTTAGCAGCTCCAGAAGGTTTTCTGGCAAGTAGACGGGGAGGTAGAAGAGGAGAAGCTCACACGAGAAGTCGTACATTGTTCGTCGTTCAACCGTTCATTCATTTGTTCGTTCATCGTCATCCATTCGTAGTTTCAACACATCATTTAGAGGTGAGTAGTTGTCCCCTCTAGTTCTAGAACATCAAGTTATAATCTATGTTGTTATATTCATAGGAATATCGTACGCAACCTACGTAGAATCTATGCATGTTCGTAGGTTAGCCATCAAAACGTTCACTACGTAAAAATCGTATATATTGGCATAGGAATCACTAGGAATATTTCATAAATGTTTACATTATTGTTCTAAAAAGAATCAAGGCGTTAAGTTCACAAAACGGATCAAAACGAAGCCAGAGTCAGTGGACTGTCTACGGGACGGTCGACCGCCGCTAAGGACGGTGGACCGTTTCCCTTGACCGTTCGTCGGCCACCACCGTAACGATCGACCGCCGGCCGCGACGGAAGACCGGGGTGGACCATTTACCTTGACCGTCCGTCCTTTAGCTGCTCATTTTGTGTTGAGTAAGGATATGTGCCCTAAAACTAAAGCTGAAATTAATGAAATGAAAAGTTTGCCTTATTCCAATGCTATTGGTTCTGTGATGTATCTTATGATTAGCACTAGGCCTGATATTGCATATGCTGTTAGTTGTTTGAGTAGATACATGTCTAATCCTGGTATGGCTCATTGAAATGCTCTAAAATGGCTTTTGAGATACTTTAAATCTACTAGGAATGTTGGTTTGACTTTTTCAAGAAGTGATAAAAGTGTTAAATTGATTGGCTATGTGGATTCTAACTATGCAAACGATAGGGATAATAGAAAATCTACTACTTCCTACGTGTTCACTTTGTGTGGTTCTTGCATTAGTTGGAAGTCTCAACTTCAACACATTGTTGCTTTATCTACTACTGAGGCTGAGTATGTTGCAGCCACAGATGCTTTTAAAGAAGCCATTTGGCTTAAAGGTCTTTTATCTAAAATATGCTTGCTTGATAAGAATGTGGTTGTTTTTTCTGATAGTCAATCTGCCATTCATTTATGCAAAAATCCTGGTTTTCATGATAGAACAAAACATATTGATGTTAGATTTCATTTTATTAGAGACATAGTTGAAAAGGGCATTGTGTCATGCTGGAGAAAATTCCTACGGAGTCTAATCCAGCTGACATGGGTACTAAGTGTTTACCTGTTGAAAAATTTACCTTATTTCAAAAGATTTTAAACCTATCTATGTGATTGTGTAGTGATCTTTTGTTTCTTTTTTGTCTTTGTGACTTTCGTTTTTTTTGAACTCGATGACCCAATGGTAGAGTTCGACTCTTCGTGAGTTATTTTTGGCATGCTTTGTGATGTTGCCTAGTCTTCGTGACTTGAGAGTACTTAGTGAACTCTCCACCACTACCTGTGTTCTCATTTGTTGATTACACATTTAGTGGTTATTAGGCTATGATGAGTCGCGCGGTTCCTTATCAAACTATGTGCACTACTTTGGGCCAAAGGTGGAGATTGTTAATTTATTTGGGGTTGGCCCAAACATATTAATAATGTTTGACACCCAACCCAGCAGCCCATTTACTCAAGCCCAGCCTTTACTCCTTAACCTAATTAAGCTTTCCTTAATTACCACCCTAATCTTCACTATATATTGAGGGGGCTGCCTTGAGTTTTTACACCGTGCAAAAATCCTCTTCTCTTTGTGAGTCTTCCTTGTGGGTTTTCTCTTCCTGTGTGTGGTCTCTCTGTTCTTCTCCGTTTCTTTGTGAGTGGAGTGTGGCGAGGTTGGGTTGGGGTGTTGCTCCTTTTGGTACCCTTGTAGTGCACAACTACGGACCGATTTTTACGGGTGACCTGAGCCTAATCGGAATAAATAAATACACATAACAATTATTATTATTATTGTTGTTGTTGTTGTTGTTCTTAAAAATAAAAAAGAATAAACTTTAGAAACAGGTTAAATAGAAAACTTAGAAAGTAATCCTTAATTATTAGATGTCGGAAAAATTAGTTTTAAAATACATTGACAATGTCAATCTAATTCTACTTTTAAAATATATTTTTATTACTACTAGTAATTTGAGTTTCTAAAGTTTTGATCTTTTATAAGGATGAGATATTTTAATAAAAATACTATCTCTTCTATATATTGATTATCTAAATTTAATTACTTTTTAATGTATATATAAATTAATTATTTGTTTTAATGTATATATGAAGTAATTATTAAAATATTAAATTAATATTCTAATTTCACAAAAAAATAATCATAAAATAAAAAATATTATTAGATTATAATATGAATGATTATTCTAATATATGAATTAACTAATTTTATTTTATTAAAAAATAATCATTAAATAAAAATATTGATTATATTATAATATGAATTATCATTACAATTTTCAAACGTTATTATAAAGTCAAATCAAATTATTGATTTGAATTTTAAATCAAATCATAATTAATCAGATCAGATCAGACCAGATCAGACCAAACCAGATCAGATCAGATCCAATCATATCAGATCCAATCAGATCAGATCCGATCCAATCAGATCAGATCAGATTCAATGAGATCAGATAAGATCAGATCAGATTCAACCAGATCAGATCAGATTATATCAGATCCAATCAGATCAGATCAGATCAGAACTTATTAAATCAGATCAGATCAGAAAAAATAAGTTGAACGGAAGCAGCCATACACTATGTAACAATTAATTCTTTCACTCTATTATTAATTAATTAGTGCATTACCCGTGCGATTCACGGAAAGAAAAAATTATCCTAATTGTGAAAAATATTATATTTCATTATTATTTAGGCCCCGTTCCATTCAGCTTATTTTTTTATTATTCTTTCTTATTCTTATTAAAATTAGATCAGATCAGACCAGATCAGATCAGATCAAATCAAATCAGATCAGATCGAATCAGATCAGATTAGATCAGATCAGATCGAATCAGATCAGATTAGATCGAATCAGATCAGATCAGATCAGATCCAATTTGATCAGATCAGATTAGAGCCAACCAGATTAGATCAGATCCAATCAGATAATATCAGATCCAATCAGATCAGATCAGATCAGATCCCATCAAGAATTATTATTATTATTATTATTATTATTATTATCATCATCATCATCATCATCATCATCATCATCATGATTCTAAATTATTAGACGTCGGAAAAATTATTTTTAAAATACATTGACAATGTCAATCTAATTCTACTTTTAAAAAACATTTTTATTGCTACTTGTAATTTAAGTTTCTAAAGTGTTGATCTTTTATAAGGATGAGATATTTTAGTAAAAACGCTTTCTCTTCTATATATTGATTATCTAAATTTAATTACTTTTTAATGTATATATAAATTAAATATTTATTCCAATGTATATATGAAGTAATTATTAAAATATTAAATTAAATTTCTAATTTAACAAAAAAAAATCATAAAATAAAAAATATTATTACATTATAACACGAAAGATTATTCTAATATACTCCATATGAATTAACTAATTTTATTTTATTAAAAAATAATCATAAAATAAAAAATATTGATGATATTATAATATGAATTATCATTACAATTTTCAAACGTTATTATAAAGTCAAATCAAATTATTGATTTGAATTTCAAATCAAATCATAATTAATCAGATCAGATCAGACTAGATCAGATCAGATCAGATCCAATCAGATCAGATCAGACCAGATCAGATCAGACCAGACCAGACCAGATCCAATCAGATTAGATCAGATCAGATATAATCAGATCAGATCAGATCCAATCAGATCAGATCAGATCATATCATATCAGAACTTCTTAAAATCAGATCAGATCAGAAAAAATAAGTTGAACGGAACGGAGCCTTAATCTTAAATAGACATATAACACATAATAGATAGAGTATTCAACAACGTTAAAAAAAGAGTATTCAACTATATTACGTTCAAAAGATAATATGAAAATGAAGGACAACTACATATATGAGAATGAGGGACTATAAATTGTGTGCATTAAGACCAATCAAACATACTCAATACCTCATTATAAACTACATTTGTTGTAATGTTAGCTAGATTATTTTCAAAATTACATATCATTACTTTTAAACCGGAGCGGGAGCGTACCCTAGGCATCGCCACATACAGTTGCTCGTGACTGAAAACTTGTTTTTTTCAAAAACATGCAAACATTGAAGTGGAACAAATATCTGGTTGGGATAATTTTGACTTCATCTCTGTTGTTCGGTGTTTATTACAATCACCTAAATAAGAACATCATATAATAATTTATATATTCATAGATTAAAAGATTGCATATTCATAATAAACGCCATCTACAAATTTGCTTAACATGAAATTTCTCATCTTTGCCCAATGGCTTCTGCTCTTCCAGGTCAATAATGCAATCACTATTTTTATTTGTTTCTTCCTACAGAAATCAAGAATTTTTTTATTGTTACTTATCTAAGATTGAATAAATTTTCAACAAATTGGAATCATTTACTCTAAACACCTTCTCACAAAGTGTTTAAATGAAGTTTGTCTCCTCATAATTGCAATCTTATTTTTCGCTAGTGAATTTTAAAAATACCTCATTATGGTGAAAAAAACAATGGAGCATAAAGTTCTCCAATGCTCTTGTAGGATATCAAATCGCATGCATGAATCTCAATTTAAGATAGCCACGAAATGTAGATGGCTTCAGTTCCATCAACTTTGTCCAAAGTGTAGGCATAATTTCTAAACTGATAGGCCTGGTATGTGACGGCCTGACGGGAGATGGATGGATTAAAACTCACCAAGGCTTTATGGAGTGGTGGAGTGTGTAAGAGAGGAAGTGTATTTATACTTGGAGTTTAATGTATAGGTTACTTACGTGTGATATTTAACAAATTGAATGAAGAAGAGATGATTTTTTTAGCTCCATGAATGGAACGCCACATATTTTGCGACATGCAGGGCAAGAATGGACTATTTTGGTTTCATCCACTCGTAATAGATACCTGTCATTTTTCTGTAGGTACATTTGGTTAAATAATCCATATCTTGGTAGGGCAATTGGGAATTCCATCCATTTGTTACAACTATGGTGGTGTTCTCCTTCAGAATTGAAATGATATGATGATTTGTATCTTGGTGTGGCTAGCCGAAATTTGACATCGTAGTTGCAACCATGGCTGTCTCATCTTTTTTATTTCCCATTTGGAAAATTATTTCTAAGCGTCTTTATTTCATTTATAATATTTGATTAAATTGAAATAAAATTTGGATTTTTTTCGTACCCATTTCAAAGCATCTTTATTTCGTATTTACAATATTTGACATTGTAGTATATCTATATATTTTAACAAAACTGGCAGAAAAACATATACTATGATTAGGCCTGTTCTGTGCTGATAAACTGGCAGTGGAGATTATGTGCTCATTTACAAAATTGTTTAGGAAGATTCAAAGAATCTGGGCAATGGGATTCATTGATGTGAGAATGGATTTGAAGTTGGGCCGGAGTGCTTCTGATCTTGATTTTTTTAACCAATTTGTTTGGATTTATTAAGCTTATAAAGGAAATGTATTTTCACTACAAATGATATGTATGATTAGTTGTCCATTTGTAATTGTAAATAATGCTGGATTGAGATTGCATTGATTACTGCCACAGTGCCACGTGTACCAAAACACTAATAGCCCTTGGATTGGGATTTTTTGGCGCTAAAATTGGAATGAAATTGAGCAGAATTTTTCATTCAGCTTTTATATAAATAGTAGAAGTCATAATACGCAATTAATATGGAATGAAGGAAATATGTTATTATCAAAGAAATTTCATTTGAGATGAATTCCGTTTATAGAATTATTAAAAGTATTAATTAATTAATAAAATTGTATTTCCTCCGTCTCATATCTTTCTTCTTAGAACAGTATTTCAACTTCACAGGAACTTTTATTTATTTGTATTTTTCATGGCATATATGATAAAATAAAATTTTCTTGTCACCACTTATTCTATTGTACTTTTGATATTGTTTTTAAATATGTACTCCCTCTATTTTTGAAAAGAGTTCCACTTTTGACTAAGAGCTTGTTCTTTAGAGTTAAACTCTTAAATTCTAGTTTTTTCCAAATCCTTCCTGTTTCTTCCAGTTCTTCCAGTTCATTCTAGTTTTTTCCAATTCCTTCCAGTTTTTTCCAATTTCCTCCAGCTATTTTTATTTTATTCAACCTTTTTCTACTTTTCGACAAATGACTCTAAAAACGATATATTATTATTATTATTATAATTATTATTATTATTACAGTTATTATGTTCATAACTATAGTTTATAAATTATTTCATTTTTTCATCTAACTAATTTTTTGATTCACTCATTATTATTTTTTCTTCAACTTTTTAATATGAATAATACCATTTTTGTATATTAATCTACACGATAAAATAGGAAAATATTAATCTACCCAATCAAGAGAAAACCACAACCTTTTTTTTGGCGGTACCTTGCCAACGGAGGATTTTTATTAATATCTGGGGTGTTTACACGGTACATGATTTAGGCTAAGAAGCCATTAATGGAAGCTTGAAGCTTCTTGAAGAACAAAAATACAAGGATTCTAAAGAGAGAAAGAGTGGGCAAGGAGAGTAAATTGAGAGAGGCCTCCCTCACATTGAAGGTAACCCCTTCTTTTATAGGAAGGAGGGGAGCATCTTCGGAGGAATATTCTCTTATTCCTTCATTTTACTAAACATGCCCGGTTTGATTATTCTTCGTAAATAATTGGAAAATGTGAGCCGAGCCACATATTATTTCCCATCAAGAAGTCCTCCACTTTTTAAGTTGTGAGAATCATCAATTTAAGAAAGTAAATAAGTCCTCCTAGTGCTATCTTCAGTTTTCGTACTTTGCATTCTTGAGCGGTTGATATTGCTAGTCCTCCGAGTCTTCATTAATTCTCTAATTTCTTAAATAAGATGTGTAACACCCTAATCCGTTCAGGTCTGCAGCCCCTTTCGGACTAAAGTATTAACTTGGTAATCGTAAAATTTAAAACTTTTCAAACACTTTTATTTATCATAATAATATTTTTCATATCATAAACAGTACAGAATTTTCAATATTGAGGAAGCTTAACAAATCATAACCACAAACATAATTTATTTATATTCTTTAATTCAAAACCATCACATCCATTCCGACTATCTCGCCTCCGTCTGCCTCCAGGATCACGTCACATCAATCTATTGACCTGCATGTAGCAAATAAAACACACTACACGCTCAGCGGTAAAGCTGAGTAAGCATATCTAATGCGTCGAACATCCACATAAATTGAATCTCAATTCATAATCAACCATTTGATATCATGCACATAATGTTCAGTTCAGATATTCAATAATCAATATTCAATTTTCAACATTCATCATTCAATCATCCAACATGTATATTCATCATTTGTCATTCAACAGTATCCTTAAACTATTCTTAGTCTAAGGCCAATCACTTTAATATTTGTCAACCCTTTAATGAATTCTAGTTTAACTAATTAAACTATATTCCAGTATACAGAGTA